GTGGAAACATAGAAATGAAGATCATATGGAGGGTTAGCAACAGGGGAGTGGGAGGAGGAGAAGGGGGGAGAAGGTACAGAAAATAAGTAGCATAGATGGTAGATAGAAAATAGACAGGTGGCAGGGCAAGAATAGTATGGGAAATATAGAATCTAAAGAACTTGAGACACATGGTCATAAACTAAAGGGGGGGGGTAATGGTGGGGACTGGGGGGTAGTGTGGAGGGGAATGAAGGGGGGAATAGAACAACCATAGTGGCATAATCAATAAAAATTAAATAAAAAAAGAAGTATGAACTTAATGGATTCTAAAGTTTTTGCTCAAAGACAAAACATGATATGTACCATGTATTCCCGTGATAACTAACACAAAAATGTTGGTGTTTTCTAAGTGGCAAAAATAAGCCCAAGCAGCAAGCTTGTAATGTTAGTAATGTGTATGTATTAGTAATGATATACTGTAGATAATTGTATGAACTATCATGTTATGCCAATAAACTAAAAATTCCTGAGTAGCTGAGAACATGGTAGTAGCTGCACCATCTCGCCTTGGTATTTTGTCAGTCATTCAACAAATGTAAAGTGGTATGAACCCTCCCAATGCATTTGGAAACCATTTTGTTAAAAAATGGTTTTGTAGTAATCTGAAATATAATATTGTAGTTTGGCAAAGAGAATAAAAAGCAGAGATCCATAGTATCTTTAACTTTATGTGAACATGAAAAGCATAGGGAAGAACCTTTACCTTATGTACCTCTGAGAAAATTCTGACCTTGTCTGACCTGTAGGCAGACAACAAAGCTTGTCCATGGAGCAAGGTTTGTTATTTCAGTAGTACAGTAGTTCCCCCTTATCCAGGTGGGATATGCTCTGAGACCCCCACCCAGGTGGGTATCTGAAATCACAGATAGTACCAAACCCTGTACTGTATATAACTATGTTTTTTTCCTATATGTATATACATACCTATGGTAAAATTAGGGGGCAGAAAGAGATTAGCAACAATAACTAATAAAAAATAGAACCATTATGACAATACACTGTAATAAAAGTTACATGAATGTTGTCTTGCTCTCAAAATATCTAATTGTAGTGTACTCACCTTTTTCACTTAAAGGAAGTGCTTTACAGCTTCTCTTATATCTACTATTTCCAGTATTACTACTTTTCTGCTTTGGAGCCATTATTAAGTAAAATAAGGATTACTTGAACATAAATACTGTGGTACAGAGACAATCAATATGATTATTGAGAGGACTACTAAGTGACTAACAAGGCAGGTGGTATATGCAGCATGGAGCTGCCAGGCAAAGGGATGAGTTTTATTCTAGGCAGGATTGAATGGGATTGAGCAGGATTGAGTGGGATGGTGCAGGATGGTGGGAGATAGTGTGAGACAGCATGAGATTTCATCATACTACTCAGAGTGGAGCATAATTTACAACTTATAAAATTTTTATTTTTGGAATTTTCCAATTAAGGTTTTTGGACCATGGTTGACTGCAGATAACTAAAGCCTCAGAAAGCAAAACTGTGGATAAAGTAGTGATACTACTGTGTATCTTATTTGTATAGTTAGGAATGAGTTTATTTCTTTAAGGGCAATAAATGTGTGGATATGAAAGCCCATGGATGAGCTTCACTTAGACTTTTAAAACTCTCTAAGTTTACAGCTTCAGAAACAATATTGAATACAATTTTTACTCTTGTCATTTTTTTCTCCTAAAAATTAGGGAAATTTCTAATTAAATGAAGGTTTATTTATGTTGATTTGAGCCTGTCATATTTGTAAAACATATTTAGGGAACCTACTCAAAAAGGATTTGTTTCAGCCTTGACCAGTGTGGTTCAGTTGTTTGCATGGTATCTCACAAAGGGAAAGGTCACTGGTTTCATATCTGGTCAGGTCACATACCTGGGGTTTGGTCCTGGTCAGGGTGCATATAAGAGGTAACCAATCAATGTTTCTCACATTGATATTTCTCTCCCTCTGTTTGTCCCTTCCCTTCCTTCTCTCTGAAAATAAATAAATAAAATCTTAAAAGGAATTTAGTTCAGATAATATACAATTATATGTGTAAATATGCATGTTGTAATATCTTTGTATTTCAACGTAATTTAAAATTAACTTTATGTTGGCTTTTGAACATTCAGAGCATTAAAAAAATAAAAAGTATTTTGTGATACCTTTTTTCCTACTCTGTTAGGAAATTAGGTGAACTTTAGCTCTTCATATTCTTATGCCTATCTGACAACATAAAAATCTGTAACCACTAATTTTTGACATAATACACCTTTATAAGGCTTACTGTCATAATATTGTAGGGAAGTCATGCTATTGAATTTGCCTTTAAGATATAAAATCAGTTCTTGTGATTTCCTACTTCTAATCTATTGAAAAGGTTTTTTGTTCTAGTTCCCAATCTGATTGAAATCCTCAATGAAATAATTTGCACTGTAGGATTTAATAGGAATCATTCAATAGAAATCAGCATATTTCCTGTCTATTCATTATATAAAACAGTAGTGTTAAGTTATGTAAAATCTTAAGCATTGTGGAGTTAGTTACATATAAGGTCTCTCCAGAAAAATTGCAGCCATTGTTAATATAACAAGAACTGTTTGCGCAGCATCAGTGTAACCTGGCAGCCAAGGAAAGTGGACTGGAATGTGCATGTGTGAACAATCATGACTTCACTGTACTAGTCAGTGGGGGTGGTAGATGCGATTGAGTGAGCATGGGTACTGTGTGGCCATCACATTTGAAATGACTGAGTAAAGCAACAAATATGTATCAAACTTTGCATTAAACTTGAACATTCCTCTCTGGATGATTGAGAAGGCTGCAGCTATGCCTGCTCATGCATCACATCTCATGCAGAGTTTTGGGGGGAAACATCAAATCACCCAGGTGACTCAGCCCCCTACAACCCAGATTTGGTGCCCTGTAACTTCTGGCTTTTCCCAAAACTAAAATCACCTTTGAAAGGGAAGAGATTTCAGACCATGAGTGAGATTCAGGAAAATAAGATGGCAGCTGATGGTGATTGGGAGAACTGGGTGAGGTCCCAAAGTACCTACTTTGAAGGGGACTGAGGCATCATTGTCCTATGTACAATGTTTCTTGTATCTTGTATCTTCTTCAATAAATGTCTCTATTTTCATGTTACATGGATGTATACTTTCTGGACAGATGTCATATAGTGTTCTTGTGGTTAAGAGTGAGGACTCTAAGCCTGACTTAAAAGCAGACTTAGTTGCTTGCTACTTATGTATTCATAAGCACATTACTCCTTTCCATTGAGTCATGGTTTCATCATTTTAAGTAGAGAAAATTAAGATTTTGTAATTAAATTTGACAATGTATCATGTTTAGACTGTACCTAGAATATCAAGAGATTCAATGAATGCTAGCTATTATTATTTGATACAAATTGTATTATTTGATTTTTAAATTAAGTTGGCAGTTAGGTTCAAATTTATTTATTTATTTATCTTGTTTATCGTATTTTTTCCACTACCATTTATCCTCCTTATACTTTCTGTCACCTCCACTCATTCCCTTCTCCCCCACAATCACTACACTGTTGTTGTCTGTGTCCATGAGTCCTTTTCTTTTTTGCTTGATTCTTCCACCCTGTAACTACTCCCAGAGCTGTCATTTGTTCTCCATCTATATGAAACTGTCTCTATTTTGTTTGTTAGTTCAGTTTGTTCATTAGATTCCACATCAAATTAATTTTTTTCATAAGCCAGGCAGTGAAAGACAAATACCATATGATCTCACTTTTAACAGGAACCTAAATAACAAAACAAACAAGCAAGCAAAATATAACCAAAGACACTGAAATAGAGAATAGGCTGACAGTGACCAGAGGGGAGAGGGGAGGGAATTTCAGGGGAAAAGGGGAAGGGTTTACAGGAACTAGTATAAAAGAGACATGGAAAAGAACTAAGGGGGGTGGAAATGGGAAAGAGGTGGGGAGCACTCGGGGGGGAGTGGGCTGGGATGGGAGTAAAAGACAGAAAACTGTACATGAACAACAAATAAATAAATTAAAAAAACTAAAAAAAATTAAAAGATATTTTTTCAGCTATTGTTAACTAAGGTAAATGTCTACAGAAGAAGAAATATCGAAAGAATGAGGTGTAAGTGACATCACCAATTTAATCATTATGAAGCAATACAGGGTATTTTTAGCAGGAAAATTGTTATCAATTATTTGGACAAATACTTAAAGAAAATGATTATTATGCTCAGTGAAACAAGCCAGTCAAAGACAAATACCATATGATTTCACTCATATGTAGTCTAAGGGACAAAATAAACTGACAAACAAAATAAAAACAAGTATGGACACATGGAACAGACTATCAGCTGTCAGAGGGGATGGTGGGAGGACTCAATGAAAGAAGGTGAAGGGATTAAGCAGACCCCCCCACATGTATACATATATACATATCATTCACACACACACACACACACACACACACACACACACAAAACACATAGACACAGACAACAGTGTGGTGATAGCCAGAGAGAAAGGGAAGTGAGCTGGTGGTGGTGGTGGGCAAAGAGGGTGGAAATGGGGTTGAAAGAGACTTTGTTTGGGGCAATGGGTGCACAATGCAGTTGTGTAGATGATGTTTTGTTGTGTTGTACACTTGAAACCTATATAGTTTTGTGAACCAATGAATTCAATTAAAAAAAAAAAAACATGAGCACCAGAGTCTGAATGACTTTGCCTTTAACTCTTATTAGAATTTGTTTTATATCTCTTCAGTATTAGATGGCCTGCTTTTGATTACACTTTGGAAAAGCTTTATTTTGAAGTAATTATTGATTCACAGGACATTGTACTTTGTACAAAGATAGCACAAAGTTTGTTGTACTCTTCACTCAGTTTTCCTCAGTATAAGCATAGTACATTATCAAAGCTCAAAAGTTGACATTATTATGATGTTTCTGTATAATTCTATACCATTTTATCATATAGATTTTTGAACCCACCTCTACCATCAAGATATAGAACTGTTCCATCACCACAAAAATAATCTAGAGAACTCAAGGTAAGGAAGAAAAAAAATCTATCACATATACCCATATTTTTCTTACAATGTTGATTTTACTTCCTGGTGTTCCAAGATTCCTTTTTTTATCATTTTCTTTCAGTTTCCAGGACTTTCTTTAGCCATTCTTTTAAAGTAGGTCTGCTGGTGATAAATTCTTTGTTTCCCCTCATCTGAGAATGTCATGATATCCTCTTCATTTATGAAGGATATTTTCATTGGATATAGGATTCTGAGTTGACAGCTCCTTTTTTCCACCACTTGAGAAATCTTGCGTATCTCATACTCATGGCCTCCATTGTTTCTGATGAAAAAATCTGTTGTCCTGTGAATTCTTTTCTTCTGTGGATAAAGTATCATTACTCTTTTTCTGACTTCAACATTTTTTTCTTTGTCAAGTTTGATGATAACGTGTCTTTGAGTAGATTACTCCAGATTTATTCCACATGTGATTTACACAGCTTTTTGAATGTGTAGATGAACGAACAAACAAACAAACAAACAAATAAATAATCCCCCCCCCGAATTTGGGGAGTTTTCAGTCTTTAATTGTTTAAGAAATTTTTTAGTCCACCCTCTATTTCTATTCTGGGGCTCTGATGGCACAAATGTTAGATCTTTTGTTCTTGTCCCTCAACTCACAGATGCTCTATTTCTTTATTTATTGTCTTTTTTTCTCTTGTTCAGTTTGGGTAACTAATATAGTTCTATTTTTCTGATTGTGAAACCTATCTTATACATGAGTATTTTATTTCAGTTACTGTATTTTTCAGTTTTAAAAGTTCCATTTGGTTCTTCTACCTTTTATTTCTTTATTGAGACTATTTTTCTGAGACTGTCTTTTTTAAAAAATATTTTATTTATTTATCTTTAGAGGGGAAGGAAAGGAGAGAGGGAGAGAAACATCAATGTATGGTTGCCTTTTGTGCGTCCCCTGCTGGGAACTGGCCTGCAGGGAACTGGTCTGCAACCCAGGCATGTGCCCTGACTGGGAATCGAACCGCGAATTGTCTGGTTTGCAGGCCCATGCTCAGTCCACTGAGCTACACCAGCTAGGGCTGAGACTGTCTTTTTTCATTTATTTCAATCATGTTCATAATTACTCATTGAAACATTTTTATGATGGCTGCTTTCAAACTTTTTCAGGTAATTTTAACATCTCTGTCATCTTGGTATTGACATCTATTCAATCTTTTGTCACACAGCTTGAGATCTTTCTGATTGTTGGTATGGCAAGTGATTTTTTGATGGAGGTTCTTTTGAGTATTATGTCACGAGATTCTGGATCTTTTTGAAACTTTCTGTTTTAGCTGGTTTCTTCTGTTGTCACTTTGTCAGAGGATGGGAGGACACTTGACCTCTTTTGACACTTAAGGGGTGGATGATGTATAAAGGTTCAGGTACTCGTACCCCAATAGGACTTCAGTGATTCTTCTGACCAGAAGGGGTAGGAGTGCCTTGTTACTGTTCCCTATGTAGCCTCCACTGGCACTATAAAGGGGATGGCCACATTACCTCAGGGCAGTGGTGAAACTCCTCACTTTCCGTTAGGCTTTGTCTTATACCACCACAGCAGGGAAGGGGAGGCATGCCTAATGACAGCCTTGTGAGTGTGGTAGTTTAAGCTCCCGATTAAGTCTTTGGTGACATGGGTGCAGTCATGTTTTTTTCCCTGTGGTGTTAGGCTAGAATTTTGTCTCAAATCGTTCTGTCCTGCTAAGCTGTCCCTTTTCTGGTCATTTGTCTAGAGAGCAAACTTTTCTTAGGGCTGGTTTTCCTTTGTGCTGAAATTCAATTCTAGGTTGCCAGCTTCTTCAGCTTTATGAGGCTGTAAGAAAACCCAGGGAACTCACCATTATAATGTTCCTTGTGTTCTGAGGTCCATAGTCAATGTTCCTATTCTCTCCAATTTTAGAGCTTTCTTATGTTTGTTTTATATATCATATTCATGGTTTTTAGCTGTGTCTTGTGGGAGGAACAGGGAAAAGCATATCTACTTCATTTTTCCAGAAGCAGAAGTTTGACTTATTAATGACCTTTCTGAATTCTTGTTAGTTATTAAGACTTAATTACATCTGAAAACTTGAAACTGAAGATTTCTCCTAATCCTCATTAATGAGATATTTTGAGTTTACATGTCATCTTGCTACTTTGACAGTAATATTATTTAAATATATCTTTTTGAAAATTTTTATTTTAATTGTTAAAATATAGTTTTCTGTCTTTTACTCCCATCCCAGCCCACCCACCCAGTGCTCCCCACCTCCCTCCCATTTCCACCCACCCCCTAGTTCTTGCCCACGTGTCCTTTATACTTGTTCCTGTAAACCCTTCCCCTTTTCCCGTGAAATTCCCTCCCCTCTCCCCTCTGGTCATTGTCAGCCTGTTCTCTATTTAAGTGTCTTTGGTTATATTTTGCTTGCTTGTTTGTTTTGTTGATTAGGTTCCTGTTAAAGGTGAGATCATATGGTATTTGTCTTTCACTGCCTGGCTTATTTTGCTTAGCATAATCCTTCCCAGTTCCATCCATGCTGTCACAAAGGGTAGGAGCTCCTTCTTTCTTTCCACTGCATAGAATCCCATTGTGTAAATGTAGCATAGTTTTTGATCCATTCATTTACTGATGGGCACCTAGGTTGCTTTCAGCACTTGGCTATTGTAAGTTGTGCTGCTATGAACATTGGGGTGCATAGGTTCTCTTGGATTGGTGTTTCAGGGTTCTTAGGATATAATCCTAGCAGTGGAATTGCTGTATCAAAAGGCAGATTCATTTTTAGTTTTCTGAGAAAATTCCATACTGTTTTCTATAGTGGTTGTACCAGTCTGCAATCCCACCAACAGTGCACTATGTAGCAATATTTCTTTAGTTTGTAAGGCGTAGTGCTAAATCTAAGAAACGTACTACACACACAAGAGTCTATTATACCTTTAACTATTTACTTATATATATATTTAAAAACCTGTTTATGATAGGGGGAATACAAGTAGACAGTTGTATAGATGACAGATCTCCCAGATAAGATCTTGGAGTCAGGATGGAAGACTAGTGTCATATGGAATTTAGTAATGTAATTATAATGCTTAAGTAATGATTGAACTTGCATGTTATTGCAGCATCAGTTAACTAACAAGCACGTAACTTTTGTTAAAATTACTTATATATACATATGATATTGGCACACATTATTGTTTTAATGCTTTGAAACAGCAAATATAGTTTGGATTGATTGAAAAGCTTTCTGCTTTAACAATATATTTTCTCATTATGTTAGTATCTTACTGTGATTTTACTTTCTCTTTTCTGTTGTATTACTCTTAAGAGAGTTAGAGAGCATGATTTAAAAATAATAGCAGTGGCAAAGCTTCCTCTTCCTTTTGAGTTGAAGTCCACTGATAAATGGGTAGAAAGGTCCATTGATGGCCACATAGATAAAATTTAACTTAGGATAATAAAATATTTAGAGGTGAATGCAGCCATATATATCAACCCTCTCAGTTTAGAGAAGAAGAAACCGAAGTCTAGAGATGTTGAGAGATATTATGGGAAGGGGCACAAGCTACTTAGAAAGAACTGGGGCTTGAACTCAGATTATCTAATTCTGGGGCCATTGTATTTTTCATTAGCTGGTACATTGAGGGAGAGTCAGACCAGGAACCCACCTTCAAAGAGTCTAGTGGGGAGACAGCAAGGGCAAAAGTAACTATAATACATAATAGAAAGTAACCATTCTCATAAAAGAATAAATTTTTGTGAAATATAATTGTTCAGCAGTTTAAAAATATACTTCAGACCGGGCGGGGGGGGGGAGGGAAAAAAAATGTACTTGAAAAGTAACTAAATAAAATAAATAAATAAATAAATAAATAAATTAAAAAAAAAAATAAAGGACATTATCCCACTTAATCCTGATACAAACCTTAAAAAAAAAAAATAAAAATATACTTCAATTCTCTGATATGAATATCTAAAGAAAAGAAGTCAGAAATCTTATTTCCAGACTGTTTTGAGAAAAAGATCCCTGAATTTAATTTTTATTTTGAAAAATATACTCATAGTATAAAAAATGTGGATAATGATGCCTGGTTTAGAATTTTCATAATTTATTTACCCCAAGAGACTTTTGTAAATAAATGATAATAAGTACACACAAGTTATATATGTATAATTTAAAGACCAGATTCATTAAAAAGAAGTCTTAAAGAGCTAGATACCACCTTACTATAAGGGAGATTGTCTAATCAAGCTATATGCAACAATGGAATGGGCCATCTCAGAGTACCGGGAGTTCCTGTCACTGAAAGTACTCAAGGAACCACTAGTTAATCTCTTGGTAGGGATTTTAGTTTAAAGGGGAATTTAAGCATTTTATAGGTGATGATCTATTAAGTTTCCTTTCAACTTAAGTTTTTTGTTATTTAAATTATTTTAATTGCTGCCTAAACTTGGGAGGTACAGGCATAATTTATATATTTTGTTTTTCTTATTTTCTACAGGAGAAATGCTTTATTTCCTGATTTTTAGAGTACTAAAGTGTCATGTCTAATAGTAAAAATAAAGTATGTTTTTGTGGAGTAACATTCTCATTATGTTAAGATTATATTATATCAGCATCTCATCAAATTTGTGTTTCATTACAGGTGCATATAGGACTCACACATTTTAGTACATACCTCATGGACTAGAATAACTTAAGCAGAAGACTAGATTTAACCTACATGCTAGAGATTTCCTCCTATAGTAGGATATAAATGTGTTTTGACTTCCTAGTTGTGGTCAGTGTAGTATTATCAAATGTTCCTTCTCAATATAGATATTTTTAGGTACTTTCTAGTCTTTATTGTAAGAGTAATGCATACAGATACCAAAACACTTAAAATTCAAAAAATACCCATGAATTATTAGTCTTCTTTTCTTAGTGGCAGCCATTGTTTTTTTTTTTGTCTGTATACTTGTGGATGTTTTCTATGTAAATAAAAGCATATGTGTATATAATCTATTA